TTGAGAAGTGAGGTGTAAAGATAAACACAGCTTAAGGATTCTGACCTCCTAAAATGTGGACATTTACTGGAGTATGCTTTTTAACCCCTGATATCTTTCCACCGTAAACACTGGTTGATTAGGGACTCAAATCAAAACTGAGTTTGCTTATTGTGTGACTTGAAAGCAGTAGCAATGGAATACAACGGCTTCTTACAAAAAAAAAAAAAAAGTCACCAATTTATTGATTCTCTGTCATCTCAAAAGGAAAACAAATCTCTGAAAGTCAAGTTGTCCCTTCATGGGATGATGGATTACTAAATGCTGACTTCCTTCTTTTCAGCAGAGGTAACTCCGATGAATCAGTGTTCACAAAATGGCATTTGGCAGAACAGTAATGTTAGTTAGACAAATGTTCTGTGTAAGCCATAAGATATGACAGAGTGATAATTTTTATGGGCTGCCATAGGCAAGCACATTCAGATTCTCAGAACCTCCTTCTGAGTTTAAAGGATGGGTTTGGGAGCAAGGAACTTGGGGATACTACTAACCACATAAGGATACAGCACATCAGGGATAAAATGCTACAAAAGTTGGGACATGAAGTGTCTGACAAGTCCAAGGCCCAATGATGCTTGGACACACACTCTACATTATGGTCCTGAAATTCCTTATGTCTTGAGCTCCATATTCCATTCACAGCATAAAGTTCCATGCTGCCTGTCTACAAACTTTTTGATACCTCAATAAATCGCTGTGTAATGTGCACCCCAGAGAAAAGCTCCTGTCTACACTTATGTGCTTATTCAAATCTCTGGCTTTATTTTCCTGTTAGAATTTGATATACATCCTGATTTTCCACAGAACTGACATAAGACAGTAGGATCTTCATGAAACCCTCACAGGCCACTGCATTTAGCCCAGAACAGCAGATAATTGTTACCATTACTGAGCTATTACTATGGGCCAGTATCATTTTAGACCCTCTTTAGATAACACGAAGCATCTAATTTAATCCCTACAACAACTTTAGACATAATTAAAGTTTATTAGCTCCATTTCAAAGATGAGGAAAGGCTTTGAGAGGTTAAATAATGTTGTCCAATCTCCTACAGGGGTATTCAGGGATAGCCTGAGAACACAAACTCAGGTCTCTTTCATGCAAAACCTCTGGTTTCTTAACCATTTTGGTAGAATGATTTTCCTGACTCCAAGACGGCCTCAATCTCTTTTTCAGAGGCATCACTTCACCTGTGTACTTTCCTTGACCTTGGTATCTCCACAAGAACATATTATTCCCAGAGAGATAATGTTGTAAACTGGTCTTTGTGTTAGTAATATACTGGCAAGTGTTAAAGGTGAACACACTCAGCCATTGGGGTGGGGGAAGGGAGCATAAACACAACCTGAAAAAAATCACATCTGATCTTTCTGCCCACAAACCCAAGTTGTCTGCAGTGAACTGTCTGGAAGCACTTACTTTATTGTGTATGTAGCTAGCACTATCCCCATGAGAAAATGTAGCTCTACCACAAAGTAGCATGAAGGGCATTAGTACCTGTCAAATAGAGTTTGTGTTTTCCGTGAAAGCTTAAATCACCAATAAACTGGCTCAACTGTATGTCCTCTTGTGGGATGGCAGCCAAGATAACCCGGGAGCAGGATGGGTCATTGGCAAGTCTTAATCTATATCCATATAGGCAACCACTAGGGAATGTAGGATGGAGAATCTCTAGCTCTCAGAGACCTTGGAAAAAGAAAAATTGGGATGTTCTTAAAATACTGAAGAATGTAGTAGCTTTTTTTGTTTGAAGGTGATTTTTAATGCATACGGATAATTTAGAGGAATAAGAATTACATGATTGTTCAGGTAAGGTTCTATAAGAATCTATGCACATCTAGCCCCAAGTTAAATTATGAAGTATACACAGTCTATTTCATGTTTAATAATAAATATTTTTTCTTCAACAATTATTCTTCCTTTCATGACTTTTCACCATCTTGGGATTTTTAGAACTCACTATTATTCCCTGACGCCAGAAGTTTGCTTTCTCCAAATAGTATGAGTCCCATACCTCATCTTCAAAACTTGTCTGCCCAGATGATTGATTCAATGATAGTCTACTTGGAGCTAATACATAATAAATAGCTCCTTCTGGCTAAAGAGGCTATACTCCCCAGAAAAAAAGTTTTCATTTTAATTTGTGCTTGAATCCTAGGAGTGAACATTTTAAGGCTTTCTTATTCTGTAGCAGAGCCCAGTCACAGAGAGAGGTCGGAGAAGTGGGCTGGTTTCTACACTCCTCAGATCAAAACATGCACTCTCTGCACTATCTGTGATGCCAGACTACTCAGCTGGCCTCCTCATCTGGTAGCTTCTTCCTAATGTGCCCATTCTTTTAACGTTTCACATTCTGGTTACCAAAGCAGCTTTCCCTTATATCATCCACATCCTTAAAGCCCTCAGTGTGTCCCTCTCCCATCCATTCTTTTCCCTCATTAAAACTTAATTTCTCACCACAGTTTCAAGAAGTCTCATCAATACAATTCAATCTGTCACTTTTCTCCATCACTTCTTTCCCTCTAGTGTAGCAAATCTCAGAATGACTTTTCTTCCATTTCTCCACTTCCAAGTTGCCATGTACTTAAACGTCAAGAAATTTTAAAGAGTATATTGGGAATACTTCCAAAGCAAATAAAAGTTTAGTTGAATTTGGAAAAAGGAAGTAAAAGAAAGAAAAACAAACACACATCTACCCATGTTCTCCTATCCAATGATGGTAATATAGTATTTACCTCCACTCAATATGGCACATCTTACTACGGTAGAAATGGTAAGGAAGGAAAGAAAGAGGAGAAAATATACAAACAATTTTGGAGCCACAAATAATTTAATCAATACTATCATAGATTTTTTACATGGAAGGAGCATGATATGAAAACACAAACACTTCTATTTCCATTTTTGAAATGCGGTACTATGGATAATGAGCTTACTTGTTTTTATAAACCCAAATTCTTGATGATCAGCACTAAAATGTGACTACAGATAAAACAGCCTGTGTTAGAGCATAGAAAAAGACTGGAGCTTGGCCTTAGACAGAACAATCCTAATGGCCATCAGACAATCCATTCCACCTTTCAGACATTCTATAGAACATCAAATGTCAGAAAAAAACAAAAAACTGCCATCAATCATTTAGATACTTCTAGTACACTTGGATGTTCCTTGTCTTATAGACAAATTATCCAGATGTTAAACTAATTTTTTCAGTTTCCACCTGAAAGTTTTGTGTCATGTAGGTCTAGTCAACATTGAATTAATTTTTTCCTTTTCCTCCAACATAATAAGGATCACATTTCTGAAAACACTGTTGTTATACACCATGGTCTAGAGGTTGTGGTTAATCTGATATTCTAGTTATCTGAGTTATACATTCAATTAGGCATCATATCGATTTTGTATCATCGTTTTTACTCACATCTCTGTTTATATCTTATCTCTGCCTCTTCACAGAAACTCTTTGAGGAAAAGGCCTAAACTCAAGCATCCTCACACCATTCATGGTGTTTTTAGTATCATGCTTTACATGCATTATTCCTAATTAATAGATGTTTTTCGAATGGGTATATCTGGTCATCCTTATTACATCTGGATGACCAATATTCAAAGAGCTATATTACAAAGATAAACACAGAAAGTGTGTCCAACATGAATGTGACTTTCTTAATCATACAGAAGATATTTTAGGGTTCTGTGGTACTTCGAGGTCATCATTACAAAACTTGAAGGCTACTGAAGTATAGAATTGGCGAATGCTGTTTAATAGAGGGCTAGGTGATAACATGGTAAATTACATCACACTCTTGTGTAACACCTTCCCACGATTTCCAGGACTCTTAAAGACCAAATTCCACATATGTCCCAACATGGCTTATTCCTTGCCCATATCTTACACTTGCAGCCTCAGCTCACACATTTGTCCTATTCTCTGTACTTCAGTCACATTTTTCTGTTTTTCACATCTTCAGAGGCATCGTAATGCCTCCTGCTACAAGCCCTTCACCACGTTATTCCTCTATCAGAAATCCTCCAACCTGTCCTTCCCTAACCTGCCAATGCCGACTCATCCCTCAAGGAGGTGTTTTGAGATAGCTTCTGCCTTCCATATGAGTGAAATTCCTTGGTTATATGCCCTTACAGCCCTCAGAATACTTATCGAAGTTTATAATGATGCATTCATAGAGAGAACACCGGGATAATGTTGACATTCCCCCACTATACTTGAGTCAGCATGCAAGCAGAGTCCTCGCCTGATGTGTGCACTATGAGGTCACCAATGCCCAGCACAGTGCTTAGCAGAAAGGAGTTGTTCAATAAACATTTGTGAATGAATCAATGAATAAATGTGATTTTGCCTTCTGACTACTTCATATATATATATAAATATATATGCTTGTCATACACACAAGTGTTTTCTATTTGGAATATTTGTGCAAAATTACATCTGAGGCTCAGTGAATCTTTTTAAGCATATTTGAAATAGCAGGTGACTCATTAACTTGGACGTTATGAAAATTAGTTGGAATTCTCATTACTCTAAGCCCAGTACTTTGTTTCCTTAATCAAATATATTGTCCATGGTAACAGTTAAATCCAGTGCTGGTATGGAATTTGCCAGAAATTTCTGTCCATGTGAGAATGACTTCATACTCCTGGCTACAACATGAACTAATATTTATCAGTGAGAGCATTCAAAGCAACATGAAACCTTTTGAATTCAAAGAATCAATGAAAATGTCAATTACTGCTAGACAGACAGGCAGAAAAGAATATAATCTTGTCTGTACTTCTCTCGTCCTGTAAGACTTATGCTCCTGTTCCATTTTCTGAGCAATCTAGTAAAATTCAATTTACTTTTTCAATTTGTCTCCAGCCAAGCTTCCTTCTGTCAGCTATGCAGACATTTCAATGCTGGTCATGTAGAGTAACAGGAGAAGGACAAGGAGAATGAAATTACCTGTGCATTTGCGATCTGTGTCTTCTTTCTTTGACCCACTAATCGTCAGCTTGCAATTGAAGTTTTCTTCCCAGTATTCAGCAAACCACACATTTCTTCTGTTGTTTTCAAGTGTGCGGGACGTAAAATAGGCATCAAACCCTAAAGAGAGTTAAATGAAAAGGTCATCGCTTGCTGGGCACTGCTAGAACATTCGGAAATAAAACACCAATGATGGTTTTTCTTTGTTTTAATAGACTGGATGCTCTTTTGTGTCAATCAAAAAATTAAAACTTATCAACAGAAAAAAAATCTTCTAATGCTAACTTATGGCTAAATCTCTAGTGCAATCTGTCAGGCAGATGTGTGGCCTACAAATGACCTTTTCACAATAAAATCTGCATTAGAGACCTTAGGGATGACACAACGATCACAACATGCCTTGCTTCTCTAGTAAGCCAGATCAGGAACAAAGCATCACCATCATCATCATCATCAAGATAGTAACTGATAATTTCAGTGCTTACTATGGATCAGACTCCATGCTTTACATAGATCCTTTTATTCATCTCAACAACTTATACAGTAGTTACTATAATTCCCATTTTGCCAATGAGAAATAGAGGCTTAGATGAAATAATAATGTGTCCAAGGTTAACAATTACACCATATTCTGCATCCCTGACCATGAGCTATTGACCTGTGAATATCATTTTAAGAACCCTCTTTCATTTAGTAATGTCCCATTATGTAATTGACTTTTTAGTCAAAATTGAATTTTTTGTTGTTGTTGTTGAGGAAGATTGGCCCTGAGCTAACATCTGTGCCTCATCTTCCTCTATTTTATGTGGGACACCTGCCACAGCATGGCTTGATAAGCGATGTGTAGGTCTGTGCCCGAGATCCAAACCTGCAAACCCTGGGCCACTGAAGTGGAGTGTGTGAACTCAACCACTATGCCAGATGGCTGGCCCCTGAAATGGAAGGTTTTTTGTTTTTTTTTTTTTTTTGGCGAGGAAGACTAGCCCTGAGCTAACATCCATTGCCAATCCTCCTCTTTTTGCTGAGGAAGATTGGCCCAGGGCTAACATCCGTGCCCATCTTCCTTTACTTTATATACAGGATGCCTGCCACAGCACAGCCCAAAAGCAGTGTGTAGGTCTGTGCCCAGGATCCAAACCTGTGAACCCCAGGTTGCCAAAGCAGAGTGCGTGGACCCAACCACTATGCCACTGGGCCGGCCCACGAAATGGAAGTTTTTGAAGACTCCATAGGTAAACCAAGCCGAACATAAGCTCCATGCTGTTCACAAAGAGTGTGAGATGAGCAGAGATCCAAGATGCCGGGTCCCCAGGAATCTCTAGCTACCTCATTAGGATAGTGCAGCTTGAATCGTTCCAATGAAGCCAGAAGGTCTTGTGAGAATCAGAATCAGATTGGATTCAGTATCACAAGACCTGGGTTTGAGCTCCAGCTCCACTAATCTCACTAAGTCGTGGAAACATGAGCAAGTACACACTTAACCTTTCTGGTCTCCCTGTCATCCATCTATAAAAACAAAGATGACACCACGTCCTTCCCTCACAGTGTCTTGTTCGTGGCAGTGGGAAGACTTTAGAAACTTACAGAGTTTAAGGTCAAGAATCATAGAAAAAGATGGATTTACTTTCACATTAAATTATTCAAAGTTTTCCCTTAACTTTAAGGCCATAAAAAAAAAAAAATAGCTTCAGCCCATAAACTCTATGAGAAGAGCATGTGAGGTTAATTTTATTCGCCACTACCTTCCCAGCACAGAATTCACGGTTTGACATAGAGTAAGCCTACTATAAACAGAGAATTGGAAATAAGAGTAAAAGAAACGGAAAGAAAAAGAAAACCTATAAAGCAAAGGAGACTATATAGCATTTTAGGGAAAATAAAAATAATATTCTATATTTCTTAGGCCATTTTCCAGGCTGTTGTCAGAACATGATAGTCTTGACCAGGTACCCAGCCAACTGTCCTTTTCTAGTCACCACCTTAACTGATTTGACAGTGATCTGGCTGTAGTATCTGATCATTCAGATGTCAATACTGATTGATTAACCTGTCCGGCTGGAAGTCCTCCTCCTGCCTCACTGTTCTCCCACAACCCTGCCTCCAGATGACTGTTCAGTAGAATAATATAATATTCCTAAAGAAAGGAAAATCCTGGGGGAAAGACAGAGGAGTCCTCCATGTTTTTAAGATCACTACATGTATGCACTTGGTCATGTACATACATACACACACACACGGTGACTAGTGATTTCATTTTTCTCTCCATCTTTGCTCCACAAAGAAAAAAAATGGCAGATTAATCAACAGTGGTAGATTGTGACATCAGTGGCCCCTGACGCACCAAGCTTCCTGGGCTTCACACCTGTGTGTAGTCCCCTCTTACATACTGCGTCCTTATCCCTGGGACATTGGCAGGTGCAGTGCAAGCAGAGCCTGGGAAACCTTATGCCCACTGTGGCTTGTCCTCATGGAATTCTTCTTCTTGGAATCCAGCTGCCATGTTCTAAGAGGTTTGATTGAGGGATGTGAGGTCACGTGGAAAGAGAGGAGCCCAGCCAGACCCTAGCCCTCTCAGTAAATCCTTTTTGCCCATTCCAGCCCTTCAGCTGATTGCAGAAGAAGAACCACTTAGCTGAGACCAGCCCCGATTGCAGAATTGTGGTGATTTGTCTTTTAAGCCACTACATTTGAGGTGGTCTATTACGCAGCCATAGACAACTGAAACACTCCTTCATTATCACAGCACCTTGAGCCCTTCTCTGTGTAACACCCAAACGACAACGTGCTCTTAAAGAGGTAGTGTCCTCAACAAAACACAAAGGGGCTTCAGAAACAAACTCTACGGCCACATGCCACAGGTCTGAAGCCCGAGCCAAACTCAGAATAGGAACTACTAAAACGGCTTAACTTGTAGTATGGACACATACATTCCCCAGCTCAGAAGAAAACATCTTTGGAGGAAACTTCATCATTGAGCAAATCTCTCTCTTCAAAAAGCCTCTCTCTTCAGCCTGTGTCTGCTGGAAATGCAAAAGCATTTGATGAAGGAAGGACTAGTTTGCAGCTAGGGAACACGCAGGTAGGTGACTGTGGAACATTTAAAAGAAGAAAAGGAAGGGGAAGCAGCAGCTACTTCCTCTTCCCTCTCTTCTAAGTGAGAACCAACAGATTTCTGGAAAGAAAGCAAGCACTGCAGAGGCTGTCTGCACGCACCGTGGCAGGACGTGAATGAGGGGAAGACTTGCCTAGCAAAACCTCTGTCCTTTTCACTCACGTACCTGGCTGCCTCGCAGCTTTCTCCCCCTCCTCCTTGCAGTGGGGCCGCTGGCCACCCTCGCCTGTAGGCTGCGCACTGTTCTTGCTTCTCACATGCATTTATATATGAAGTTCCTGGAGCTCTCATATGATGCAGATTTTGATTCAGGAAGTCAGGGGTGGAACCAAAGATGCTGCATTTTTAACAAGCCCCAGGTGATGTTCATGCTGCCCAGACCTTAAGAAGCGGGGCTCTAATGCAATTCCTGCATTTTTAACAAGGCCCAGGTGATACTCATGGTGCCCACACTTTGAGAAGCAGGACTCAAGAGCAAATCCTGAATTTCAGCAGGTGTTATTTGAACAGTTCCAACCCAACTTTCCAGATCTCAGCATTGTCACCCTCCCAGCCTCGAATTTGTGCCTCGGTCCAGATGAGAGGGGCTTTGCTTTGCTTTTGTAGTTGAGACTTTCTTAGTACCCTTCTCAGTATGACAAGAACACTGCCTTGCCATCCCACAGCCTGCAGATGGCCCTGGGGAGGTGCAGCATGCTTTATTACCTGTTGATAAATTTCCTGGCGCACTCACTCCGTCTATATAGCCCTGAGCATTGCTGCTCTGGGCCCCCTTGCAGCCTCCAAAGGCTGAATTCCTCACCTGGGTCTCTTGTTATCACTCTGGGCTCTCCAGCTCAGAATTTCAAACGTGGTGCTGTGACTTAGTGTTTCTAAGGAAGTAACGTGAAATAGCCCTATGTCTTCTCTAACTCCTTCGAATCTCCACTGGCCTTGAGGGGAAAACTCAGAGCCCTCAGCCAGGTACTAACATAGCACATAGTTGCTTTCGAGTGGTTTCCTAGAGACTTGAACTGCCAGCCTGCATGAGATCTGCACCTTCTTCCTGTCATTAGGGAAGCCACAGAGCGTAGTGGAGAACATAGACATCGGGGTCACAAGGTGTGGGTTTGAACCTAGCTTTGCCACTTTCTACCTGTACGGCCTTGAGCAGGTTACTCAGCTATTCTGTGTCTCAGTTTCCTTATCTGTAGAATGGGGTTAATATTAATACCTACCTCACAGGGTTGTTCTGAGGATTAAGTGAGCTATTATTTGTAAAGTACTCAGCATTGTGCCTGATAAAGTAAAATAGTAACCATTGGTTGTTCAAGAAACACATTCATCCATTGAATATTTACTGAACATTTACTCTGTGACAGGCACTATTCTCTGCACTCACAAACCTTGGGATTAAAACCTACATAACCCTCATTGGATTTATAGCCAGACTGGTGGGGAAGGTAGACTTTAAAAAGTATCGTTTAAATAAATATAAAATTACAACAGTGATGATTTCCATGAAGGAAGGGTGCACAGTGCTTAGGGAGCACAGAGGAGGAGAGAACTGTCTTGGAATCAGAGAGGGCTTCCTGGAGGGAGTAGATACATAGATGAGAAAAGGGAAAAATAGGTTTCAACTGGGAGTAGGGGAAGGGCATAAACTGGACATTCATTCAGAGGGAATAGCATGTGCTATGTCTTAAGAATATCGAAATCATTCTAGCATTACAAAATATCCCAGGAACCCTAGGCCTCAAAATCAACAAATACGAATGGACCATCTTCTATGTACATGCAATCTAATATTGCTACTAAAATTCTAATAAACCAGAGGCATAAACATTTATCCAATAAATAAATAAATATATGATAGTCTTCCAAGTAGTTGTCAAAAATCCTGATGTCGGGCAGATTTCTACTTGGTCATACAAAAAGTTGCACTAACAGTTATAATTACAAAAATAATAAGCATTTTGTATTCATTTTCTCATTGTGTCACAGAAATCTTAGGAAGGAGGTACTAACC